CTGTGGTTTGGGGTGGGCTAGCTTTAGAAAGAAGCATAGGTTAGCACTGTGGAGGTGGAAACCTGGGTTTTATTTCAGTTAGCTCAACTGCTGAGCCACCATAAATATCTTCCTCTGGAAGCCTCATTCCCTTCACATTAACTATGATTTCAGTGAAACAGCTTCCACTTGTACACCACTAGGGTCTGACCTGGAAGTTTTACGTAGTCCATTTTTTGTTTGTAAATTTATTTACCTTTCCATGTCAAACTCAAAGTGGCCGCTGATGTGCACAGAAATATCCACCATTTTATAAACGATCCAAAAAATACCAGAAGTAACTTGAACATGTTTTTCAGGGAACAGTTAGAATAGTTTGGGTTGGAAGGGACCTTTGAAGGTCATCTAGTCCAACACCCCTGAGATGAGCAGGTACATCTTCAACCAGATCATGAGAGAAACATGACACCCAGATCTTAACCATGCCCTATTATCATGATGTAAATATATAGGTATGGAGTTTATATTTGTAATAACCTATTTAAAAAAAAAATAGTTAAAGTAATGTAAGCATTTCAGGTAAAGATGGCTTAAAAAATTTACAGAAGACATTTTATGGTTTTTGTTCTTTTTTTTTTTTCCCAGATGTCTCTTCTTCCAAAATTCAACACTTCAAAGGATCCCAGAATTTGGAAATCACTAACTTACAAAACAAACTAGTGCTGATGACCATGGTTTCACTGACTTGACAGAGATCTGAGAAAGAAATAAAGGTAAGGCAAGTTTCTCAGATGATGTCTCCTGGTCCAACTAAAAATCTATCCCTCCTCACCCATGGAAAAACTGTGTCATAGCCAGGAGAACCTCCCTACCCTCTGTGAGAACCAGGAGAAGCTCCCTACCCTCTTCTCCAGAAATCCACAGCGTGCATCTTGCTGGGGTAGTGGGGGTGGTAATTCTTCTAGCTGCTGTTTTCCCCATCAAGGATGGTCAAAATCTCAGATATTTCTATGATATTCAATATCCGTAGCATTAATTGGTAGATTTCGGAGGGGAGGGGGAAGTTATCAATTATTCATACTTATTTTATTTTTTTTTTTATACTCAATTTATTCTTTCCTGGAAGAAATCAGAGATAATCTGAAGCAAGTGAGTTTAATGCTTGAGTCAGAAAGTCAGAGTGAAACCTATACTGCATTTCTGTTCTGCTTATGCTAAGGTAGGTGATACTTGTCTCAGCCCTGTATAGAAGTAAGCTTTATATTATGAAAGAAACATTATCTTAATGTATTGTCAAGCAAGGGAAACTCTAACCCTGAATTACTTAAACCCCACCATCTTAGTCATAGTAGTTGCATGACTTATAAAATGCCCTCACTGAGTCTTCTTTCATTTCCCTAATGCATCTTGATAACCTTTAGCTACTACTGATTATTTCAGAGAAAGCAAGGAACTATCTTTTGTATTTTAGAATAGTTATTATTCTTTGTATTATTTTTTATTATTATTTGTAGTTTCCAAATATTTACAAAACTGAGAGCTCTCCCTTCATATTCCTTCAAAGCAAGGCATAGAGAAAATCAATAATATTTACTATATAATTTTAATTTCATAAACTTTGGCATTATATTTTTTATATAATTTAATGCAATGCACATGAAAGGTCTTAAACTTTAGAGACATTTTACTATTAATAGGCAGAAGTGTTCTGATATATAACTATGGCTCAGGACACTTCAGATGACTTCTGGTCATTGGTACTCTGAAAGAAGTCAGAGGCTTCCGGTCCCAGTGCCCAGGAGAACCTGAAGAGAGCGTCTGACTCAGAGACTGGAAATGCTGATACCAGCAGGAGTGGCAGGAAAATGCCTTGCAGCATAGGCTGCATAAATCTTTCTTCAAGGGAAAGATTTCCCATAAGGCCTACCGAAAGCAGATAAATTTACATGTAAAAAATTTTCAATGTTTTAGGCCTTAAATTTACTCAGCAGACAGTCCCAGTGTCCCAAACATTAGGCTATAAATTATAGCAAAAAACTGAGGGCAAGGTAAAATTGAACATGAATAAAGATGCTCAACCATTAGAAATTCAGTGATTTCATAAAAAATCAAAGCAGGCATAGGAAAGCACAGAAGTGGGTCTTGCTGGGGATGAACTGGGAAGAGGCATCCAGATTCTCTCTCTCCTTATATGAGACGTAGACATGAATTATCTTCTTATGATCTTATGATTGAACATTTGATTCAGGAACATATCTAGCACATGCATGGTCATGAGCACATGCCATCATCTCATAGTTTTTTCAAAATTTAAACCTGAAGCTGAAGGATTTTAATTAATAAAACTGGAATTAGCCACTTGCTGGAAAGTTCATTTTTAGAACCTGGTCAGTGATATTCAGCCCTTGTAAAAGACAGACCTGACAAACCAATCATTTGGGCAGCAAATCTTACATCGTGTTCTAGTGAGGGTAACACAAATATGGTTTCCATAAGCAAAATGAATGTAGCTCCATAAATCAGTGTAGAAGTCCTTACAATATGCAGAAGGCTACTAAACTTTGTGACACGTAACTGAACATTGAGTATAAGAGATTTCGGATGTGATCCTCTCTTAATATAAACTCCTACATTGACTACATCAGTTGGGAGCGTGGCTAGATACCAAAAGCATTCTGAAAAGCTCTTTTTCCATGGATGCATTTGCTGATCAAAATTTAATCGTGCAACTATTAGAAGATTCCAGTTTTGTGTCATGGGTATACTGAAGAATTTTCCAGTGGTTAATGCTATGTAATGGGCCCATACTCACCTACATTTCCTATTTCAAATGTTGAGACCATTCTAGTGGATTTTTTTTTGTTATTTTGAAGAAATTCTATACAGAAAAAAAAAAAAATCTGGCTATACACTTCTGTCATAATTCTGCTCCACAGTATCATGCTGAAGAGACACAGGCTTTCTCTGTTCAGTTCAGAGGAAGTTCGATTTATTTAGTTAGCTGTTCTTCCAGTTTACTCAAGTGTAATGCTGCATGTGTGAATTTTCACACCAGACTACACTTGGAACTCCACAGGTCAGATATAATTTTTAATTACATTACAGATAAATGACTGAGTTCAGAGACTCTTTTAGAGGGATTACAGTCTGTTTCCAAGGATAGGAACAGATGTAATTCTAGGAATGAACTACACTGGCTCACATCCCTTCTGAATCCACTGAATTCAGTGTGATCACAGGGGTCAGAAGTAATGCAAAATTCGGCCTATGACTTTGGCTATTTCGGTACAACTTTCTGTTGTGTCCTCTACATAGTTAATTGTCAGACTTCAGAGAAAATTTTGTCCCATTCACTGTAAAATAGAAAGGTCCATGGAGGAAAACTGGTGCATTAGAGAAACACACAAAGGACATTAAGGCTATCTAGTTTGATGTTTTCAAACCTTTTTCTTTTCCTCTGCAAACAATGACAGTTTCAATAGGATCTGAAGCGATACTGTTAACAAATAATACACTAGTCTGACATATGGTTAATATTAATGTCTCTCTATTCAAACATGCTGAAAACTGAATAGAACAGTTAACATATAACAGTCACACATCCTTTGCTGAATACAAGATCGCATCTCTAACATGAACTGAAGATATCCTCACCACTTTAAGATCTATCATTCAAACATTTCATTCTCCTAAATACATTGCTCTTCCCCTCTTTCTGGGTCTTTCAGGAGTGCTGAGTGAACACATTCTCTCCATAAAGGCATTGCTTATGATATGGTTCTTTTTTCAACAGAAATTTTGCTGTGTATTTACAATATGTTGCCAAAGGTGAATTTGCAGAGTTTGGTAGGATTTGGCGGTGAGAAGGCCTTACATCTGGATTGAAAAGATTCAATTTTGAAATACCTATCTGGGCAGGATTCTGCACTTTATTGCAGAGAGACCATCTCTTGATGAAATTAATTACTAAGTGTGAACAATTAATTAACTGTGATCACACTTTACAGATTATTGAATCAGAGCTTTATATAGTAGCCAGTTTTTATATTACAGGTATATTCACAGGGCTTATGGGCAGAGGCAACCTCACTTTGCTCATGTCCTGAGATAGTGGGATATTGACAGAAAAGTCATTCGTAGGGATGTGAAGCTGAACCCATCAAAACCACCTGTTTTCTCACAAGGTTTATTTGGTGGGGGCTCGGGGCCATACCCAGCGCAGATAGCTCAGCTCATACATGGTGAGTGCCCAGCCACAGAAACCTGTCAGGGTGAGACTACTCCTCATGGTTATCGCACATTACTGCTACAGCAAAAGCCCTGTGTCTTTGAAGAATGCATTCGAAACGAGGCATGCTCCATCCTGGGGCATAAAGCATAGTTTGCCCTCAAATATATTTTTATTGAAAATACACAGCAAAAATTACAGCATAGAAAGTTCTGTATACAAGACAATTTTATCAACTTTATCTTAAAAAACCAAGCCAAAACTAAAAACAAAAAGGCAAAAGAAACCCAAAATAAGACTTGGTGAATGAAGACTGTGAATAGCAATTTTTTTTACTGCCGTAACAAAAAAAAAATGACATACACCTTCAGCATTTCTTTTGCAAATTTACTTGACAGAGGTTAAAATATTGCTTTATTCTGACTCAACATACAACAGCACTGCATGATTGATTGTGCTATTTTGGGAAGTCTTGAGACTTGTGAACTGGAAAGTCTGGGCCACATATAAATTTAACAATTAATTTGCTGCAAAGGAGTATTTTATTACATTCTGTATATACTGTAGTTTGTTTTTTAATCAATTTTCTGACATTAACAGAAGGCTATTTAGCAATTATTTATTATAGCTGATTTTACTTTTCCCCATGAATAAGGAGATATTTTAACAGTAATAAAAACAGTAATGTGTATGCCAAAGAATCCAATTCCTTGTATTATTGGCATATTGTGTTACAGTTTATGGGGGGGAGAGACTTTATGGGACTCAACAGAAAGAGAGAATTTATGGGACTCAACAGAAAGTAAATGCAAAAAAAACGCTTATAATGTGATTGGGATATGGCAATAAGGAAATTACATTTCTTTTCCAAGGCCTTGATTCCCTGCAGGGAGTGATTTGGTGGAAACCATCTGCTCTTATATAGCTCAATTACAATCATATCTGTGCATGCTTGTGGGTCTGCCCATACAGAACCATCTGCAGGGTTGAAGCTTTAAAGTTCACAAGCCTAAGCCATGATTAATTGAAACGACTGAAGAACTGAAAGTGGGAACAAATTAGGGCAGTGTGGACACTTATCAGCTGGATTTTGATCATACTGAATCTTTCTGACTCTTCTCCGAACAGCCCATAATAAAAAATGAGTTAAAAAATACACACACACTCAGAAGTGCTCCTTAAGAGCTTACAAATGCCTTCAAAGTATACCAGTTTAGAAATGTTGAGGGGTTATTAATGAACAACAAAATTTATGTTCCCACTCAAAAAAAACCCAAATCAAATCCAAACCTGCCATAATAAATGCTTTTGGACTTTTTGTTTTTCCTCACTCTCCACTAATGCTGCTCTGATAGTCAAAGCTCAGAAAATGGAGCACCTGCAGGTTCCCAACCACTGAATCTCTACCCTATAGTATATATCATACCAATACAGACCCCAATCCCACTCCACACTTGGCTGAAGACAAAGATCCTAAATGTTTCCATTGACTTTCTTGGGCTTAGTGACACATTAAAGTAAGGTTGAAGGTTAAGTGTCTGGCTCAATTTAGGGATTTATTCTCATTCCACAGTAGGTACCAAACCTCAGAAGTAGATGTCTGCGTGCCATGGTGTGAACCTGGAACCAAGAGGAGAGGGGGAGAGGGTACTGGGTCTCTGGTGGGGTCGTAGGACTTGCTCTGCACGGTCTGAGTCCCTGGGAAGCAGCTGACTGCAGCGCTGCCCTGAAACCAGAAATGAATCTAAGACTGGTCTTGGCCTTTACTGAAAAAAAAAGATGCATAGCCTAAGACTTTGGACAGCTAAAGAGGACCATGGTAAAATGCTCTGTAACCGAAACTTTATGTGTAATACTGCCTAGAAAGCACCTGATGCATACGCCATCCCTCCTGGAACTTTTCCCTTAAAAAAATATTTTGTTAAAAAACACTATGATATGAGGGCGATTGACTATTTGGTTTCTTCTAAGTAGATGCTCTTAAATTAATGCATATAAATAATTTGTACTTAATTTCCTCCCTTCCTGTTTAACAAAGCATCAAATGCACAGATCTCGTTTCCCCTCCCAAAATCCCCACACAAAGTCACTTGGTCAATACCGAGTCTCTTTGCGCTTCACTTTTTAAGACAAATTGTGCCTCTTGCTCTGACTTGGCCACGGGGCTCATGGGCAGAAAGGCTGTGTTTTCACTCGTGCTGTTCTCTGCTTCTACTCTCGCCAGTTCATAGTCCTCCGACCGCCTTGCATCCGTCAGAATTCGAATCTGCTCCTGCACAGTTTCTAGCAATATTTTCACTTCGTGTTGTTCTGCTATAAGACAATTACTGACTGGGGAACTCACATTGACAAGTTCAGCTGAATAGGAGTTTTTGCACCACTTGATGCCTGTTACTTCAGAAACATTTTGCATTTGCATGCAGGCTTCGTCCAAGCCCACAGACGGGATGATGGGAACAGAGTTGGCCCTTGAAGATGAATAGCCGACCAAGTCCTTCTGATCCATGTTATTAAAATAAGGGGTTGTCTCTCTTGAAGGCAGTTGCATATTTATTGGAGTATTCTGAGGAGTTTTTAAACCACTGGATGAATACCTGGAAAGAGTAAAAAGAAGGGTTTGTTGTACATCAAATGGTCAGATGCAACAAGCAGCAGGGAAATTCTAATATTCAGTGAACTGTGCTGAAAAGCTACATGTCATTTTTTTCTCACACTAGGAACGCTTGGTAGTAGTATGGCCCTGGGGAAAACTACAGACTCCGGAGACCTGGCTTTGATTCTCAGATCTGCTGGTGGCAAGCCATTGCCTTCCTCCCAGTCTCATTTTGCCCACCAGTATATGAGAAAAAAAAAGATGATTCCTTTTTAAAAGATTTCAGAAGTTGTACTGTATTATTATTTTTCTTTGACGTTATATTTGAAATTCCACTCCTATGCTCCTACCTGGGGAAATGGATTGATGCTTTCTTTGCTTTCATTGATGAATTTGGAACTCTCAATGTCAAATTCTTACTTTAGCAGAACACTTTGAAAAGGTGCAGGAAAAAAAGAACTTTAAACAAAACATGTCTGTGTAGTCTTTACATATCTAGAAATGACTGTATGTGCTCCCCTTCAAACAAGCAGAGCATCTAAGTGCAGCGTACCTCTAAAAACATGTCTTTTTTTCAACAGCCCATACTCCTAATGACGGCCTGATTTCTTTTCTTGGATCTCATCTGGAAATAGAGCCAATACACTTGGCTTGAGCAAATGTCTGTGTTTGCCTGATATTGTAATCCTGTGCTTCAAAAAAAAAATAAAATCTTTATCCTCCATTAATAAATATCATAGCATGATTTTTTATTTATTATGAGCAACTTACGTGAATTTTTATCAACATTTCTGATTTGTTTCAAAGTCAAATTCATTACTCTGATCAGAAAGAGTTTTACATGATATACTTAAAAACCAGAAGTGGAAAGTATACTAAATATAAAACAAAGGAAACAATGACCAAAAAAAAAAAAAAAAAAATTCCCATCTGAGAAGCAGCATTACAAGAAATACGGTGCTTTAAGAGTTAGTCATGATTGCCAGGGAGCACAGACATCACCTCAGTACCGGAACATATTTTATTTATAATGAGCTTTGTGATCATATCAGTATTTAATAAGGCAAGCTACCGGTGAAGTCTAGTATGTTTTGTCCATGGATGAGGAAGCAACATTTAGATCTCATGTGGAAGCAGGTGCTTCGAGCTATGACTTGAAGGGTATTTTTCTGAAAGATGCTTAAGCCTGCTGGACTTCACTAGGGATATCCTCCTATTCATCTGTGCCTTGCTGCTTTTTGGCATTAGCAGAAAAAGAACTAAGGAAGAGAAAGTGAATGGCATGTAACAGCCATAGTCCAATACTAGCTCACAACACTAATTAACTGGAAAGGCTTCCTTTGGCCTTATCCTCCTGGCAGGCTGTCAGACAGGAGAGAGGAGGAGATATCTTTAGGCTCATTTCCAGCAGAGCACCACTGACTTGTTATTAACTCATCTATAGTGGCACTGTGTTTGTACAACTGTTTGACACATTAACCTGTACAAGTACATGCATGCAGTTCTGTACAGCCCCTATATGAAAACTCGCCAGGTGTCCCCAGAAGACCAGAAAATGCAGCTGGGAGTGCTGCAGTAAGGAAGAGGTGTTGTGCTTTTTGCTGCTACCTGATGGACATACTGCTTTGGGAAGTGAAACCCAGGGGAATAATATAGCAAGTGGCTTTTTCAGATCCATGCTAGAACTTCTTGCACATGCTATATAGCTGTGTTTATGTTCTACATCTGAACCAGCTAAGACTCAGCTTCTGGTTAATGGCATTTGAAATCTGCTTAGACACACATATAACCGTTTATGGAGGGTCTTTTTAGAACAGTTTTCAATAATCAGTATGAATGAAATACTGATCATGGATATTATTCCCAAGGGAGGATAATTAAAAAAAATAAATGAAAACAAAACAATGCAGACCTTTGGGTTGTGCCCATTCTTGTTTCCTTTGCTTATTATATAATTCAAACGACTATAGCTGGAGAGATCGCATCAGTTGCATTATTCCCTTTTTTGGTAATTCGGGCCCTAAATATATTCTGGGCTGCACCCTGAAAACAAAGGAAGGGAATGTTTTTCATGAATTCTACATGCAATGGATGTATTATATGGATGATATATAAGCAAAACCAAGAAAAGACTAAATTAAAATGGGTTTGGTGAAAAAATAGTAACATTTGCCAATTCCATAATAGAGGTTCAATTGTTCTTGGTATTTTGAACACTAATTGACAGCAACAATAGTACGTAATGCAATGCCTGGCATATTTCCATAATATTTCTTGAAGTACAGATAGACTCACCAGTTGTATGCCACAGTTACATGCTTCTGCCCTGTGCTTACAAGGCTTTCAAAGAAGGACTGAGGTTGAGTCAAAGCACATACACTGCGTGCAACAGACAAGGTATTAAACTAGTAGGGATATTACATCTAAGCCATGTAAGAGTTTTCTTTTGGTCAATTATAAACTGATCCATACTTCTGCTTGTGACACAAGACTGCTGCTGTTTTCAATAGACTGAGACTTAGACCTATAATTGCACAATCTTAATTACATTTTTCTATAATTAACTTTACTAGAACAATAGATCCTCCTAAGAATAATATCTGGGGTTTTATGTGAAAAACGGTTTTGTCTGAATAAATTCATTCATGTGCACGTATTTCAAAGTGCAGCTTTCTCTCCACCCTTTCCTTAAAACCAAGCAAAAAGAGAAACTCATTTATAAATATGCAACAGTAATTATGTTATACAGTCTTTAAGAGTCTAAAATAAAGAATGACACTGAAAAAAGGGAAAAAATTTTACTGCCCCATTAAAACAGATACAAAGAGAGACAGAAGAGATTGTAACTTAAAAAATAAAATGTTTTTTTGTTTAGCAGAATACCAGAAGCTTTGCTATAAGACGTATTGCTATAGATGTCCAGTACAAGACCCTGACGACAAGGCCCATTAAAATGAACAGAAGTCATTCTAGTGGCATTACTGGACTTTGGTTCAGCCTTGTAAGCACATATACCTATATATATATACACCCCATTTTCTACCTGTAGGTATGACACATTGGCTCTTGTATACATAAGCACATTTATATATGTATATCTACACATTCACAGGCTATAAGGCATTACTTCCAACACTTCATACAGTGTAATACGAACAGCTCTCACTGACAGCATGCAATCAAACCACTGCCTGTAAACACCCTCAGGGACTCAGATCGATCTCTGAGATGTGACTGGCATGGAGATGGTTTGTTTTCTTTAGTCTCCTCATTTCAGGCAGGTTTTTCTACTCCTTCAAGTAGCATACTGATTAAATAACTGATACTAGCTGTCTTTGACTCAAACTCTGCAAATATCAGATCCTGTTGCAAATCATAAGGTCTAGTGCTTGTGGAAGGCAGCAAAAGCTTTCTTCTCAATGTGGGATGGGAAGAGGAGCCCTTTTACAGTCCAGACAAAAAGTACTCAAGTAAATTAGCCTCTTTTCTATCAAATGTAAACATACAAAATCTGATTAAACTGCTGCTGGATGAACTTCAGAAGGGTCAAACAATTAGGGAGATACACCAATTTGATTTGTGCATCCCTATAGGGAAAGATGGAGGTGAAAAGGGAGAAGAAAGGAAATAGTTAAGTTCTGCAGGGGACAAGGGAACTTTTCATTTGGGCTGGAAATCTAGTGAGAATATAAACAATATAAAACTAGCAGATATTTAGAAGATGAAAAGCCATCTGATTTTGGGGAAACCTCTTCCTAAGTTAGAAGAATTCCACATGAAGTACAATTAGTGAATCATTTTTTATATTTGTTCAGAGATAAGATGCATACTTATATTCTAGCTGAAGAGATTACTTCATTGCTGCAACACAAAATAACTTGTAAAAAGATTTTGTTACATTATTCAAAGACTCAATTTTCATAAAACCCATCATCAGTAAAACACTGTAATAAAATAAGATCAAATAACTGTTTTATTTTCATGCCTAACACTGATATTTAAAAAAAATAATTTCCATAGATATCAATTGAAGACTTTTGGTATCATATTTGTGATATGCACAGACTGCTGTGACTCTCTGTCACAACACCACCTGTTGATGCACTCACAGGACTCCATCAGGAAGAGGTCTATTTGTTAGAGTCAATATTAGGAAGATCTAATTCTACAGACATCCCTAGCACACAAAATATGGACGAAGTGCTTGCGTGGATTGAGGCCAGAAGGGGTAACAGTCTGGTCCAAATATCAACCTCTTGCAGACCTGCAAATTTAAAATATAGGCCACTACAAGATGATGCTTGTCATATCACACACTGATTTCCTAGAGAAGAGAAAATACAACCAGCCACAAGACAGCTTTGACATTTGTTACCTCACTTCTTAACCTAGGAAGGGGCCGCATCACTCTCCAGAGCCTATGCTACAAGATCCTGCTATTGAAGAGGGAAGGCTCAGCCTGCCCCTTTCAGGAAGGGTTGCATTTGGAATCATATTTTTGTAATGAATTATACACACATTATCATATATACTTACTGCAAGGATTACTAAGCAAATTTTCCTTATAAGAAGCAAATAATAAAAGGAAAAAAGTATGAGACAAATTTGTACTTATTAAAGAGGTCACCAGACACACAAACCTTTTGCGGCTTTGCTTTCTCCCTTCACAGGTAAGCTCTGTTCGTGGTCTGTCTTTCCTAATTACTGATGCCAACTTTGTTCAGTAGATGAGCTACAAAACGTTTAGTGAACCAAGTCCCTCTCTCACACTGTCCCCCAGACTGGGCAGTCTCACTGCAGGCTGGAAAGCACAGTAAGGGAGGCACAGGTGGAATGTGTGCATGCCTGCGTGTGTGCCCACAAGACACACATGTAACAGCACTTATACTTGTCCAGAATTTGTGACTGTCATCTCCCAGGAGCTCAGAGTGGATAGCGACCTTCCTTCTCTGGAGAAAATTAAACATGTAGGTGACTTACATCTGCACTCCATAAAGGCAGTTCTGATACAGAAAACATACAGCTGCCTTCTCGCTGTGTAACTGTTCACTTTGCTGCACTGAGCTGTGACTCACGTGTCCAAATGAAACTGTATTATACCATTCCAGATATCACTCCTAGTTTTACATATAACATGTCTGCAGTGATTCTGAAAAGTCCTCGGAAATCTGTAGGGATATCCAATTGCAAAAGACTTCAAAGGCAGTTAGCTGTAGGTGCTCAGGAGCACTTCTGAAATTCAGACCTTATGTACAGCTGGAGTTCACATTCAATATTCTAATAAGCTGAAGTGAAAAAGGAAAGACATTGGATTCTTTGTGCGCTTTCAAAGACAAACTTTTACAAGTTATTGCTATTTAGTCTCTACAACAAACACACTTCGCAATGTACACTGATATATTTAAAAAAAAAATCTGAATTATTTTATTTGCCTAGTGCTGATGGAAGAAAAAAATGCTATGCATAAGTTACTAGAACATCATATCACTGCTAGAAAAAAACATCCATTATAAAGAGTAGCATTGCCAACGACATTGTTCTAATCACTCCCTACTACAGCCTTTGAAAGGCTTATAAAGAGCAGCCAGCCAAATGAGAATGTATTACCTTCAAAGGGCCAGTATACTGAAAACATTCCTCTGCTTTCAATACTATAAATCCTGGATCCACAGTACACTATAACAAGTTGGAAGGACTGTAATGGCAAAGCATATTAACCGCATAACAGCAGCCACTCACAAACTGTCTCACTTCAGTTACATAATTACTTACCCGTGACAAGGTATTGTGTCCTGGTCTGTGATCCTTGACTCTTCTAGCTGTTGATATGCTGGTCCTGTAATCCCATTGAACCTACCCCGAGGTAAGGGAGGAGTCCTCCGAAAGGCATTTCTATGCAGCATCCCACTTTTTTGTCCTGGGCTGCAGCATGAAGAGAGACTTCTAGGAACAACACCAAGAACACAGTAGAAATTATCACAGCAAAAGCATAAACTTTTGCAAAGTAAAGATTCAGGATTAATAATGCATGGATTACTGTTTCTATAACTTTGCTGTGGCAGTCTACGACGTCAGTAGAAATTCTCTATGGAAATGTAATACTATAATCCATAGTTAGCTGCTGTTTATGCCATGTTTAATACATCACCTCTTTTGTAGGAATGAAAATAATTGCCTGGTATATGAAACGTTTCCTCATACTTGATGAAGGATGCTTCTTTTTCTCCATGATGCGTACCCATAATCCTGCTATATACAGTTGACTCGGACAGTATAAACAAACAGTACAGCACTATCATACCTACAGCTGAGCTCAAAATCAGATCTTAAATTGAGAACCCATTATATCATCTATCAGTCTACAAGGTGCTTGCTTCCTGATACAATATCATTAAACTGTGAAAAAAATGTAAGTGAAGAATCTAAGTGAAGCTTATGAAATGCAGCTTGAAAAAAACATATCTGACAAGTTTTCTTCACGTTGAACAAGATTTCTATATTGTTTTTTTTTCGTGTTTTATATGCTTTATATGTTTTCTTCTTTGGATACACTGATAAACACTGTGTTGTTTCTGAGATATAATACAAACTTGAATATGACACAAACAAGTAATAGTTTTCTTATTTTAGAAAATTGCTTTTGTAAACATTTTTGTAGTGTTTTGGAAAGAGAATGGATTTTTTTCCACTACATGCAGGTATTAAAAGTTATCTAGAATCCATACTTTTGGTAAATTAACTACAAATTCAGCTGTTGCTAATGCAAAAATAAGGGAACACAGAATTAAGGCAAGACATAACCTGTTCCTACTGCTGACAGGTCACAGTCCTGCATGGCGTGACTAGCTATTAATTTTCCAGTTACTCCTATTTCTCTTTGACATCTTCTGGATCTCAGAAATGCAAATGTATCACCTTATTTTCTGTTACATCTTTAATGATATTTTACTATAGGTTTTGTAGATCAATTTAAGAGTCATTATTTTTGGTTATTTAACTGATAAAATTCAGCTATGCAAAAGACTTTTGATAAATTTGCTTCTCTTTTCCTATTATAACTTGACTTAAAACCAATCTGCATTTCATACCTAATGGAAACTTTATTTACAGTTAGGGCCACATCCACTCCCAAAGCAATTGCTGCTTGGACCAAGTATCTTGTACAAATTCTCGTGGACTGTACATTTCCATTAAAACCAATCTCTTTCCCCAAAGTCAAAGCATAAGAAATAAATTCCTATCCTACTACTCAGGCTACCAGTGTTCCATTGCAATTTCCACTCTGTTCTCCCCCATGCTTTTATTTTCCTGGTGCTTTTTAATTGAAAAGATCAACAAACCATGGCAATAATACTCCCCCAAGAATTTTTGATGCTACCTTAAATAGATTTTTCTTTAGCTATTTAAGAAGGCTGTGAAAAGAATTCTTTAAAAAACAGAAGCCCTGGCCTTTCAACTCTAAAGGCTAAATTCGAGTTGTGAGTTACAGTTCACATTCTGTAAAATAACACCACCACATCACAAAAGAATTGACAATTTCTGCTCAGGAGAGCCTGAGATTATTACAAGATGCAGCTGAATGAGTAATTTTTGTTGGAGAATGAATTTCGGGGTTTTTTTATTGATTGCAGTATATTCATCAATGAACTACAAAGGTCAGCAAACTGATTAACTTAAGAGACTTTAGACTGATTACAAATATTTGAAACTAGAAAGGCATTGTTTAATTGTGGTTGGTTTTATGCCCTTGCGCATCTTCCTTGCTGGATGAGAGCACAGGATCTTCCGTCTAATAACATGCATATGCAAATTCACAAAAGTTCTGCATTTGTTATGGACATAATTTCAACACATAAAGGTAGACATGAGATAACTGTTATAAACTGCAGCAAAGATGCATATGAGTGACTTATCTGTACTTCTTTCAGCTTGTACTGAAACTCCTTGGTACACAGAACACTAGACTCTACAGGCTGCTAAAGGGCTGGTTAGACTGAAGGGATCTGGCACATGCCAGTACCTCCTTGCAATCACAGCAGCTGCACCACCAACAGAGCTTAAGTGACCAATTTGTTGCTAATGTGAGGTTCTCATGCTTTCAACATTTCTGACAGAAAAAGATGGGAGTGAAAAAAATGAACAAAAATAATGCGTGGTCACGGGCAAGACAAATTCATTAAGAACCAGGAAATATCTACATACAGTGCAGCTGCAAGTTAACACTCATTTCTTGAAGCACCAAAGACAAGATAGTAACTTTTTTTAAAACAAAGTTCTATGAAAAAGTAACTGTAGCACAATAAAGTTTTTTCCTTTTTCACAAAACTTCTATGAACGTCAGCATACTCTTCCTCCAAGACTGTTAATACAGTCCCTCTCAGACTTCTGCTCTACTGCTCACATAAAGTGTTCCTCTCTCTGAGGCAAACAATGCCTTTCAGACTTCTTCAGGGAATTCATCCTCCTTCAGCCACCATTATGGTTTCTTCCTCCCTGTACTCCAGTCTAACCAGGCAAAAATACCCAGCCCACATAAGTGAGCTGTTCAATAAAACGGACCAATAAGCAAAGCTGCAGCAGATACGTCTTTAAAATCTCTTAATCAATTACTCCAGAATAACAAAAATCAGAATCTGCTTGAACTGGTCCACAAGTAATGCATATACTAGTGAGAAATATAGTTCTGATGAATTAATGGTTTGAAAGAAGCAGTTCAACCATCTCTAAAGCGAATTAAGAACTTGGGATTCACTGTTACAAATTGTTTTGTGTGAAAGTTTTCCTTAGGTTGAGCAACCAAGTAAAAACAAATTTTGTCTCAGCAGGTTCAGTATTCTCTTCACAAGGCATATAAACAACTCCCAAGTGCAGTTAACAACATTAATGAAGAGAAGACTTGCAGTCAGTTTACAGTAACTCTGAGAATCCTCCCATACTACTTTTTAGCCAATTATTAAACCAAAGTGATTATACATCACACTATGAACACATTCAGAAATAATTTTGTCAACAGAACTTGAAAAGCAGCAGCAAGAGGATGACAAAATGTTAAAACTTTGCATGGGATCTGAATCCTTTCCTTCTTATTTAATAAGCACAAAAGAGCTACAGAAATGGTTCTTATAACCATGCTTGTCTGCATAGCTATTTTACTTATTCTTTCCCCTTTTTTCATAACTATAATTCATGAAAAGAGAGATGCAAAGTTGAAGAAGGAAGTTATAAAACTGATTGTAAATACTCAATCTGTAACTGCAAAAACTATACAGAGGCATATTATGTTACATAATCTATCACCTACTGATCACAAGATGCAAATAGTGTTGAAGACACGGGTTTTGTCTTTGCAGGACAGAAACAGTAAATACAGATGACAGATCTGGCTGCCAGACAGTGTCTTCTGATGTTCCTTAGGAGCCACATTTTTAGGCTAAGTTAGGTAATCTACTGCCAACATTTGTAGAGATCAACTATTCAGACTTTCAAGCAATTTTCAGTTTTAATAAAAAGGCTATGTTATACCTGAGAACATAAGCATCACTCAACAAATAATAAATCACTCAACAAACAATAATAATAAAACTCTATCAGAAAGTCCTTTTGTCAGACTTCTTACAGGAACAAGATGACCACAGCGAGTGCATCTCTATTAAAACCTGTTACAGATGTCTCCACAAGGGGAGAAAGTTAACGTTTGGGACTTCAGCAAAACTGCATGTGATTAAAAGACTACTAAGGTTGTAAGGAGATTATTATGACAAAAAAAAAAGCTGTGGCATATGAAAACTGAACTTCATAGTTTTAACCCTTTTTTATCCATAGCATCCTGTATCCAAAACACCACTCTTTTCCACGTCTTTGTAAAGTAATCATGTACACTCTCAAGACATGATTACTGTCTAGGAAAATGTCTCATCTACAATGGCACAATGACCTGTGCTTCCATGCTTGTGTTTATGAACCATTACAGCTGGTCAGGTTCTCAGCTCAGGTGAGGGGGTTGGACTGTAGCCTGCAGTTTGCAAGACTCTCTTCGCCCTTCACATAAATAGAAGCTTTCTAGCAGCCAGCCTACACCTACATATATCCTCTTGATTTCTGAAATGGGAGCACTGTTGCTCCTTTATTTATTCTGGTATTCAGGAATGGAATGTGCCAGAGCTGACTGGGGACTTTGCAACTCTACATAAACCTTTCAACACTACCTGTATCATCCGGTCACCATCTGAGTTCCACCAGATAGATACATACTATAGGAAAAGGGAAGACAGTGTTCAAAGGTACCTCAGTGGCACTGAGTTTAATCACCTGCCATAACTTCATCATATACTCCCTGTAATGTATTGATCAACCTTGATCCTAAAACTAAAACAATATAAAGAAAGTTGTTCTATATTGAAAACTTTGAGGCTTCCATTCAGTTTAAAATTATTTATGATGAGTATACATCTATTTGACATATGTGCTGCCATTTTAAATAGGTTTTCATTTTAAATAGGTCTTTTACTTCTCATTGTGCTTCCTCTGATATATTTATAACCACCAGTCATATAGTCTTTTCAGTTTTCTGAAGACTGAGACAGATTCTCTAACATTTTCTTATGGAACACAGATTATTCATTCCTCATATTGCAATTTAAGTTCATAGTAATCAGGAGGTCATTTTAACCAGGTGAGATAATAGTGCTGTATTCTCATGCTATATTCAAATGAAGTGACAACAGTGTCTTATGAAGTGGTTTTAATGTTTCTGACTTTCTGATGAAAATGTCTTGATTAATAATTCCTCTCATCCCATTTATCTTTCGCTCAGCTGCATCACTTTGATTATTCTTTTGACGAACTAGTACATACTGAAACTTCTTCTTCCTCATTCATTGCTTAGATTTTATTATCAGTTCCAAAATGCCTGACCATCTCTGTTATGGAATCCATCTCTGTTA